GAGATTTGACAGGGGTTAATTCCTACACTTATCCAGCCACGAAGCACGGATGAATATATCGAAACCGGCCAGAATCGGAAAGGCAAGAGACACTCTCATCAACCTGAAGCCACTTTGGAAATCTTCTGCACTACACTCCACTTCAGCCAGCATAAAGAACAAGATTCGGATTTTCAACACAAATGTGAAGTCAGTCAGTCAGTTCTTCTATACGAGTCAGAAACTTGGCCGGCATGTCAAGAAAAGGATTTTGTACAACGTGTTGCAGACTGATGTTAACAGCTGCCACCCTCGCTGGCTCCTTGTTGAAGATCAAATGACCAGCCAGCCAACCAGATAGAATTAGCAACAATAAACTCTGCAGTGGCATAAACCAACAGGAGGGAACGGATCACTCAACAAATATGCCGAGGAGAAAATGGAGATGGATTGATTGAGCATACATTGAGGCGGTCGTCACTTGAGTGGAATACCATTCGGAAGTGACTAGTGGGTGGCCGGTGTGAGGGTGACATGAAGGAGATGGTGTGAGTTGGATGAAGATATGAGAGATTATGGACAATCGTGGAGCCAGGTGCAGAGTACAGCAGAGAATAGAAGAAAGTGGAGATGTGTTATTGAAGCCCTATATACTACTCAAAACCCGTCAGAATAATAATAGTAATGATAATTAATTTCCCCACTGTAAAGTAATTTGATGTAGGCATGGAAGGCATGTAGGCCTTAGGCATGGAAAATCAACTGCAGGCTTTAAAGCTAACTGCCCTATACACCTGTTTAAAGACTTCAGAGGATTTCATTTTTCAATAAGTGTATCCGTCAATGTTTCATTCTCATCCGCTGTAGCATCAGCTGTACAAATAAACTGAGTCATTTTAAATAAGCACTTAACCAAGTGTCTCTTATATTGCCATGAAGAGAAACTGTGAGAATTTAAATACTGGCCTGTCTAAGTAAACTAAATTATAGAATTCACTTGAAACTTTTTATATATACTGAGACTACTGTTTAGAAAATCAGTAGTTTGATAGTAGGTACAATAATTTCAGAATATTCCAGAGAACTTTGTTTTTCTAACATCCAAGAGGATTTCAGTGTTACTTACATTCCACTAGCTTTGCTACTGATGATTTTTAGGAAAGTGTGTTTAACCTATAAGTAGATATGAAGCAGTCCTATAATACAAACTGTGGTTTGGAATGTAATCACATGGACTTCAGGAATCACCAACGTTTTCAGCTTTCATTGATAATTGATACTTGTATATAGTGACTTTAAGGTTCAGTCTAACGAAGTAATTGTACTTCTCATTGTTAGTCAGTAATCGATTATGGTAGTGACGAGGAATTCAAACTAATAACCAGTGGATTATCAGCCAAGAACTTTGTTGTTGTTGTTATTATTATTCCTTTAAGTTCCGAGTGCAACACTGGGCTTCAACATCACTTCTCCATTTCACCCGGCTCTCTTCACTCCTTTTAGTTGTCTCTATGTTCATTCATGATCTCCTCCGTATCACCCTGAGACACCGAAATTGTCCTTTACCACTTGGGTTCCGCTCGAGGGCTTCGCTTATGGGTGTCACTCAACGATCTCTTCAGAGTATGTCCAATCTATTTCCTTCGGTTTATTTGTTGGGTGATAGTTTCTTGACCGGTTCACCGCCACAGTTCATTGTCACTTATTCTTTCTGGCTAGTCATGTAATTCTCTGTATTGAGCCAGAAAAGATGGCTCTCGACAAAGGATTGCAGTGGCCTACTGGAAATATATTCCATAAACAAGAACTGAATCGATACGAGTGCTGAAAAAACCAAATCTTGTTCTTTACTCCAAGTCCAGCAGACTTGTAGACTCATTTCCATTTTAATGTAGAGGTCAGCCTCACCTTTCAGATCCTATAGTTGAAATCATTCTGCCTAAAATAATTAAAATAAGTAACTTCCTTCAAATGCCTCCCCTTGATGGTTAGATATCTCTATCACTTGTCTTCTCCATGCTTACTTGACTTCGTGTCTTTGACACTTCTTCTGCCAACCTATTGATTTTCATCTGTAGATCTGCGAGTTTGTGTGATATCAGACATAAACAGTCAATGAAGTTCAAATCGTCTAGAGTCTTCTTGTCAGCCCAACATATACCCTACTTCTCGCTCCCTATGGATGGACTGCCGCATAATCCAGTCGACCACATTCAAAAATATCACTGGTAATAGTAGTAGGCCGACAGCCTCATCTTACTCTTGTACTCAATTCAAAGGCTTCACTGGACATTTGACATCCTGATATAGAGGTTATTATTATTGTTTCGTTTAATACCTAGGGGAACATAGGGCTTCAGCCGTGCGTCTCCATTCCGTTCGGTTCTCTGCTAGAGTCTTCACCTGGCTCCAAGTCTGCCCACATGCTTTCATCTCCTCTTCACATGACTTCCTCCATGTCACCCTCACACTGACGACCAACTCGCCGCTTCCCTTTCGGGTTCCACTCGAGCAATGGTTTGTCTAGTGATGTCACTCACTTGATGGTTTCCTCAGAGTATGACCAATCCATCTCCATTTCTTCCTTCTTATTTGCTGCACAATCTGTTCCTGGTTGGTCCGCTCCCAGAGATCCCTGTTGGTGATCTTTTTTGACCATCTGATCCTGAGTATTGAGCGAAGACAGTTGTTAATGAAAGTCTGTAGTTTGTTTGAGATGCTCTTTATGACGCGCAGTGCAAGTCTCTGATCCGTATAGTAGCACTGATTTCACATTGGAGTTGAAAATCCGGGTCTTATTTTTGATGCTGAGTGCTGTTGGCCTCCACACAGATATGTAGCGGTCAAAGTAGGTTGATAAAGGTTTGAGGCGGCGCATGCTGCTGAAGGCCTAATAACTCTGTTCGGATTTATGCACAGTTAGCTCATTCATGAAATCGACTGAAGTAGGAGGGAAAACGTTATATGAAGTTCGTTATTTTTGATTGAACACTAGTTAGTAACTGGCGTGATGTGTCTAGTCCTTTCTCTGATGTAGACTGAATTCTATCAGTCAGTCAAATGTGTAATATGGCCACCATGCGGCTAGGTGGCTCGCCACCACGACACACGTTGTATTATTGATATTAGATGACTGCAGATACGTCTTGCGGACTGGTGACTGAGTGCCAACTAGCACGAAACCTAGGTCAAGCAAGGCTTCCTGTGGCCGACTGCCTCCAACTTTCTAAGATGAGATTCGTATTTTGGTGTTGAATGTACAATTTCCCTTTCTTTTTATCAAAAATACGATTCTTTAAATCAGAAGGGATGAAACAAATTATAATTGAACTGAAAACAAGTGAACATGAAAAGCTAATATGTAGTAAATTTCCATAGATCACTTCATCGAAACTTAGAGTATACCAGTAGAGAAATGGTTTGCATCAATTTACAGTAACTCAGTCTGTATTTACTATAAAACTAATTAAAACAGTTAGCCCCTTAGATGAATTTGAATAAGGCACTTAGAAGAGAAAATTTACGAGATGGTATCGTCATTTCGTAGTTTCTTTACAATCGCTTTACAACTAACAAGGTTCTCAATAATAAAATAAAGCAGAATGCATTGGTGGCACAGAGGTAGAATGCTTGCCAACCACGCCATACGTGGTCAGGGCCGGCCGACGCATCCCTGTGCGTCGGTAAGCCTGTAACAAGAATGGTAAAGAGGGAGGGTTTGGCAGAAACTACAGAAACTTCAAGCCTGTAGCTTGAAGGTGCCCTATGTTCCACTGGGAACGTAAAGGAATAAAAAAATATGGTTATTGCGTCATAGGTGAAGATTGAAGTTTATTTTTTTTTTTTGTGCACATAGTTTAGGAAGCAGGTGAATAATCCCCAAAGTGCTTCCATCATCTTCAATAACCAACCTTGAATTAGAGTTATCTGATGAAATAATTGGAAAGCAGTCATAAATATTGATTTTTTTGACCTGACATTAATAAGTGCTTTGCAATGGATGAGGATAATGGATTTCTATTCAGATTAATGGCACTGGGTCTTAATAACCATTCTGTAACATGTTCTTTTCAACCACCACATTGGAACATTCTATTGGTTCTACCTGTATATGTGTCACGGCAACTGTAGGTGAACTTGTAGATACGGTTTGCAGTACAGTCCACAGAATTTCGTCCTTTAATCATCGGTCCAGGGATCGAAAATTTTCGAGATGTGGGGGGAAGACATGTGGCATAGAAGGTGCGCTTGATGACTGACCAAAGTCTTTGAGCTGTCAACTGCATAATTTGATCACCCTTCAATGGTAGGTTAATAAACATAGCTTTCCTGGATACAGAAGCTGTCTTTTCAAGATGTGGTCTATCCTTACTGTGACAATTGATAAAGTAGGTTTCCTGGATAACCATTAGCTAATAAAACTGAATGTATTTGTCGAAGCCCATCCATGTGTGCTATGTGTACAAAAAACAATAGACTTCAAACCTTCACCTACCATGAACTGACTACTTGACTTATTTAAATATGATTAGTCATTAGCATGTACTTTTGTTTCATATAACTGAGTAATTGTCATGCATTTTATTTTATTTCATTATTGTGAGCCTTGTTAGTTGTCAAGAGATTGTAGAGGAACTACGAAATGCTGCTATCATCTCGCAAAATTTGTCCTCTATATGCCTTATTCAAATAAAACTAACTATAATAATCTATGGCGTAAATTAGTTTTCAAAAGCACACAAGCATTTCAAATGAATTCCACATACTGCCGGTCTAATTAATTCAAAAGCCGATATGTAAACATATAACAGAACTTAGGGTGTAAGTATGCCTCCACATTATTCTTCTCTCAACAATTTTAATTACTAACGAGGGTTTTTCTCGCCACTAACCACGACTGAACCCTGAACGTATCATTATCCACCCAGAAAGCTTAAGTAAGTGTACGTATGTATATTTTACTGTCAAAGATGTCTTTATTTAAACAAATTTATGTTGTATTTCTTTTTAAATATCTTCAGCTTATTGAATCATGCAAAACGTTGATTAAACAAGGACCATACCTACGAGTTAAAGTATGTCACTTTTTTCTTTTGTTTAATCTTTCTAAGTAAATTATTTTTCACTCAGTGACAGTTTTTGCCAGTAAAAATTTACGTGTAAAAGGAACATTGTATTCATGCAACATAATTGTACAATTCTGAAGACATTTTCCATTATTGATATAGACTGAAATGTACAAAAAAGAAATCTTATGAAATAATTGAGAAGATTTGTAGCTCAGGTGGATGATTTGCAATTAATAATGTTCTCTGAGCTGGGTGGTTTAGTTGCGGAGCTTTCGTCGTCCACCTTTCTGGACAACATCCCCTTCAGCGCAATATTTAGCATAAAGTGAAATGATTTAAATTTCTTCATGAATGATATAATTGCGTCCCCTTCGAATCAGAATCCAAGAACACAAATCAGCCGTGAAAAGGCACGATATGTATTCTTTCATATCAATGCATTTACATAATTATGGTCATCAATTTGATTGTGATAATGTCAAATCTTAGACAGAGGAAACACCAAAAGTGCAGTGAGGGAATTCTTAGAAGCCTGATGTACTCAAATGAAAATGCAATTAACAAACACGTTAATATAGACCAAATATACCAACTAATAAAAAGTAAATCAGGTGACCAAAAAGTTTAGAATCCAAGTCAATAGAAAATGGTCAATACATATGTAAAGATGGTTAGCAGGAGACGCAATTATATCACTCATGAAGAAATTTAAATCATTTCACTTTATGCTAAGTATTGCGCTGAAGGGAATGTTGTCCAGAAAGGTGGACGACGAAAGCTCCGCAACTAAACCAACCAGCTCAGAGAACACTATTAATTGCAAAGAAATCTTATCTCCAAATATCATTGGCCATTGATAAAAAAATGGAACTTGTGCACTGTGGTAGAGTATGATTCCACTGTGGATAAAATTTATTTTTATAAAGTCTCACAGTGTTATTCAGTAGTCTTTTACTGATGACAACGTTTCGAGGACAATTTATTACTGTTCATAATCATGTCAAGTGACTCAGACAAGCTTCCAACTTGGTTTGTATGGCTTCACTATTTCTCATCTCTTGATTTGATTGGTAGAGATAGGACAAAGCTGCTTATTGAGGAAATTATTTTCGGAAACCAGTTATGCCTCACTTCTACTACCTTCAAATTTCAGGGCAAATTATATAGACAAACAGAAGGTGTAGCAATGGGGTGGATGATCACCAATATCCCCTATCGTAGCAGATATCTTTATGGACAGATGGGAAAATATTGCTCTTGATACATTTAATCCTACTCCAAAGATATGGTGGAGATATGTGGATGACACTTTCACAGTGTTGAAAACAGAACATATCTCTAGCTTCTTGACACACATATATATAAACTCATTAGTAAAGGGAATAAAATTCACATTTGAATCGGAAAATGAACAAGGAGAATTAGCTCTAGTGTTAGATTGTAAAATAAAACGAATAGAATAAGTTAAACTGCACACTAGCTTTTATAGAAAGCCTACACATTCTAATATTGGATATTTAGAATTTAACTCATCTCATCCGTTAACTGTTAAGGAAAGCTTGGTTAAGTGTCTAACAAACCGAGAAGTGGAACTAAGTAGTCCAAGAAAACACCTAAATAATGAAATGAAACAGGTAGAGAAAGTGTTTGTGTCAAATAACTATCCTGTAAAATTCATTAAGAAGATCAGAAAAGGCCAAAATAAATAAGAGAGAAAATAAGGTATCTGCATTAGTTTTGCCATATAAGGAGGGGACATCTGAGACTCTCCCTACGTAGGATTCTCAATAAAGCAGGAATTAGAGTGGCATTCAAACCTACAAACTCACTCAGGTAGGACAAGCCCTGTAGGTTAAAGGACCCAGTCGGTTTTTGCAGAGTACCTTGCAATGACTGTGAGTTGAGTCAACTACATAGGTCACACTAGTAGATCAGGAGTAGTCAGATTGTCAGAACATAAGAATTTAGCTATGGTTAGAATGATAGACCCCGAGAAGATAAGTAATTTACAAAAAAGCTCATCAACTGCAATTCATGTACTAACACACAACCACACAATAGAATGGGAGAGGGTTAAAATTCTAAAATGCAATGTAGATAGGTGAAGAGAGAGGTTGATTACTGAATCTTTGTTCATATAATCTACACCCAACACAACACATGCAATAGAAGTGACTCATCACTCATACGAGAAATATGGAGAATATTACTACCAATCAAATCAAGAGATGAGAAGCAGTGGGATCATATAAAGGAAGTTGGAAAGCTAATGTGAATACCTTGATATGATTATAAGCAGTAATAAATTGTGCTCGAAACGTGGTCGCATCAGTAAACAAACAACACTGTGAGACTTTATCAAAATAAATTCTACCCACAATGGAATCACTGGCCATTGTCTGAATTCTTTCTTCATTTTAGGCGTTATTTTATCAGCAAAATGTTTGAGCATTGTGGATTAGATCAAATAAAGTATAATTATATTTCAATAGTTTACACACAATGATAAGTTTTGTTATTGGTAATATTTCGATCAAAATTACTGCCCGTGTTCACACCACTATTGGAATTGTTTTATTCACACATTTATGATTTGTACTCATATATATAGTTCATTATTTTTGCTCATTCATGTTTTTTTTCTTTGTGTATTTGAGTTATATTCCACGTTCATTCATGTTTTTGTATCCAGAATTATATTCCAAGTTATTGATAGTTGTACTGAGTCACCCTTGTTATATGTATCCGCTCTCAGGTTGACATGTCGGCTTCTTGAGCAGATACTTCGACGATGTCTGGGCATTTAATCGGTATTTAATTGGTGGATGGTGACTAGCAGTGGAATCCAGGATGTGCATTTCGTCCTATTTGGGACTCGTCAGCCACTGGATGTACCTGCATTTCTCAGTGAGTGATGATGTTCCCACCGAGGCTTGAACCCAGTGCCCATGGTTTCAAACATCCAATCAATCGACGTGAAAATCCAAAATTCAATTAAATCAATATGACCCATTGCACAAGAGGTGGCTCTCGTGGTCCAAGTGGTCTAGTGGATAGTGCTTTGGCGTTTGAAACCATGGGCACTGGGTTCGAGCCTCGGTGGGAACATCATCACTCACTCACTGCGGAATGCAGGTACATCCAGATGACGAGTCCCAAATAGGACGAAATGCGCATCCTCGACTCCACTGCTAGTCACCATCCACCAATTAAACTTGGAATATAATTCTGAATACAAAAATATGAATGAACGTGGAATATAACTTAAATACAAAAAAAACATGAATGAGCAAAAATAATGAACTATATATATGAGTACAAATCATAAATGTGTGAATGAAACAATTCCAACAGGGGTGTGAACACGGGCAGTAATTTTGCTCGAAATATAACCAATAACAAAACTTATCATTGTGTGTAAACTATTGAAATGTAATTATACTTTATTTCATTTTAGGTAGTTTTTCGATTGATCCTACAGCATTTTGCAGTATAAGGTAATATCCGATTCAGGTATTGGATAATTGTAACCTGCTTGTTTAATAATGCTCAGTAGTAGTCTGGTGAGAGCTGTCTGCTAGCCAAAATTGTAGACAACAATTTACGCCAATGTTCACGTCCCGAATCGTGGTCATGAGAAAAAACATTAATAAAGCTTAACCTTGAGGAACTCACCAACCAATCACAGCAGACTTAACGTGTGCAAATACGATTCGCAGATATATGGCTTAACTTTCTAAGAAACGGCCACAAAGAGATGACAGAATAACCTTCAGCAAGAAAATAACCAATCAGAAGACGCTGTTTCTCTGCTAATAATAACGAATAATAATGTACATAAAAATACATATATTAATATCTCCTGATTTTCTCAATAAATAATCATCTGTTGCCTGGCCGTTGTCTTCTGTCGTTACAGTAGTACTCAACGTGAAATCAATACAGACATGAGATAAACATCGTTAAGTCTAGTTGTGAGAACATTACTATTTATTCAGTGAGTCACAACAATAATGACCAATGTCACTGACAGATATTTAGTGAGTAAATTAAATTTCTTGGTGTTTTTTAGACTGACTAGCTGACTGACTGACTAAGTTTCAACGTAGAAGTTTGCATGGACGTGTACCAACCAGTTCAAGTTGCCACACTCCATATAGCACACAAAGTTAAAGAGTACAAAAAGAAATTTTTTAAAAACTGCAGTGAGCAGAAATGTACGCGAGAAAGAACAGTTACACGGAGAAACATGTGGGCTTAATTGATATATATATATATGTTGTATATACAATATCACTGTTCCCTGTGATTCGCAGTGGAACATAGGGCGTCAACAACACATCTCCAGTTTCTCCTGTTCTCTACGGTCCTCCACTCTAGCTGGCCCCACGATTACCCGTAGTCTCTTATCTCCTCCAAAAAGTAAATCACACGACAAGAAAGTTCGAATTCCACGTCAATAAAAATATGATCAATAGAGACTTAAAATAACATCCCGTCACGACAGTGGTTGCCAGGAGATAAAGTTACATCATTCATAGAGAATTTAAATAAGTCCATCTTATACTAAAAATTGCACTGAATATGTTGTCTAGAAAGAGGGATGAAGAAAACTTCTCAGTTAAATCAGCCAGCTCAGAGAGCTCAACTAATTCAATATATACATCACGAATTCATAGACTATTGGGTCGGGTCCCAGTGACCGAGTGCTGTGTGAGCTAGTTTTCCTTGTAACCGGCAAGTCCTGGGTTTGAGTCCTGGCAGTAGATGCGTACTTCCGATGAGTCCCAAACTAGTCTGACGAAACAGCTCTTCAGTACTCCCAGCTGGTTTTCCAATAGTCCTCTAACTGATGTCAGCTGATGATGAAATCCATCGGTCGGTCAGTTTTCGACATAGAACTTTGCACATAAGTGCGGCAGTTCAAGTCGCCACACTCCATGTAGCACACAAAGTAAGACAAGAAAGTAGGAGAAATGCATGTTAGAGACAGCAAACAGAGGTGTGAGACAAAGGAATAGTAATAACGAAGAACAATGTAGTTTCATTGGGAATCATAAGTCACAACGAATGGATGCATCTGCGCCAGTCAGCCATTGAGAACTATTTTGAGCCATATCACTAATTGTTTCCAGCCTTCATTGGTTTTTACCGTCCCGGCGACCCCAACCAAGAAGTCTACACCTTCCTACTTGGCTAGCTTAAACTAACTGTTGTAGGTCTCATTGACAGGTGCCATGTTTTGGTTTGACCGCCGCTAGCTCTTTTCCACCCTGACCCTATATCAGCTAACATTGCCCGTCGAGGAAGGCGATGACTAGGCATACGTAGCACATGTCCTAACCATCTCAGTCGATGTAATTTCACAGTTTCGTCGACTGATTTCCCCACCTTACCTAGCATTCGACGCCTAACCTCAATATTGCTCACCTTATCATACCACTTCACATGGGAGATAGAACGCAGACACCTATGATCGAAGACAGCTAATCTTTTCATGTCTTCCGCTGTTAATGGCCAGGTTTCACAGCCATAAAGGAGGACGGAGCGGACTGATGAGCAGTACACACGCTCTTTGGTTGATAGTCGGATATTACGTCTACGCCAGAGACGGCGTAAACTGGCATATGCGAAACTAGCCCTCCGTATTCGTGCTGAGATTTCGTCAGAGATCAACCCGTTGGCGTTGGCTGATGGTACTTCCCAAGTAAGTGAAGCGGTCAACGTGCTCTACCACTTCACTTCCTATTTCTAATCTAGGGGTCGGTGAAGTCCAATCCTGCAGCATCATCTTATATTTTACAGGGGCGAGTCCCATGCCAAACATACAAAGATTGTTGCTCAAGGTGTTCAGTAGACTGCATTATTGTGTCAGCGTCCTCGCCTAGAAGGACTATATCGTCCGCATATTCCAAGTCGACGAGATTATTCCGTGGTAGCAAGTCAATCCCTAAGTCGCTGAAGTGTGTTAGGGTTAAGTCCATTAGTACGTCTATGATGAAGTTGAATAGGAATGGGGATAATGGGCATCCTTGACGGACGCCACTAGTCGTCACTACTTCAGATGACAACTCGCCGTAACCCCTCACCTGGCTGCATGAGTACGAGTAGAGTGTCTTAATCAGTGCAATGTATTTTCTCGGCATTCCCTTTACAGCCAAGCATCGCCAGAGTACCTCTCGGTCGACAGAATCTAATGCCGCCTTTAGGTCAAGAAATATAATGATTGTCGGACGCCGGTAGGAATGCCTATGTTCTAGAATCTGTCGAAGGGTGAAGACATGATCAATACACCCTTTTCCTGGCCTAAAACCTGTCTGGGTTTCTCGTGTTTGTGAAATCCATACAAAAACAAAACTTGAAAATGTCTGACTAAATCAAATCACACTTTATCACTAATGACTCTTAATCCCCTGTTATTCTCCTTTTTTGAAAATTTTAGTTACAACAAACTCAAAGAACTGCTTTAGAAGCGTATACAACCTTTTTAGAAGGCTTGAAAGCTCCATCATCGTCTCATGCAACTGCCATATCAAGACTAACGTCGTCTGCTTCATCGCGAAGTTCAAGTTCACGCCTGACTACTGATACTGGTTTAGGACGTTTGATTTCATCTAATTCTGATGATCGAAATAAAAAACTGACCACCAGTTCAACGACAACCACAACAACAGCAATAACACCTGGTGCTTCTATCTACTGGAGACGTATGTCACGTGTAGCTGATAATGTCACATGGAATCTACGACTATTAACCGGACAAGTTGAACTGTTAACCTTATTGTTAAATGAATCCAGTGATTGGATAAAACAAGCAAAAGAGTCGAGTACAGCGACTGGTTTACTACTGATTAAACCAGATATCAGTAGTATAAGTAGTAGTGTAAGTGATACAAATTCCTCACCGACATATTCATCAAATCATAAAGAAGATGAATTCTCTAGTGGAATAAGTTTAGAATGTCCTGCAGTCAATAAGCCAGCATTACCAACTGTTCTACAGCATGGTAATAGTAGCAGTAATAGTAATACGCGTAGATCACCCATTCCAAATGATCCCGTTGAAATGAATTCGAATCTAACAAAGAATTTGCTAACTCCTCTACCAGAAAGTCCTTGTTCAAATCAATTGTTTAATACATATGAAGAATCTGAACTGGCGACACGATTAACAACAATGATGACGACGAGTGTAACACCGCCGAGTATGTCCTCGTCATCATCAATATCACCAGCGCCGCAGCTGACCTCAAAACGATCACCATCGAAAGTCTCCAGCTTGTATAACTCTTCCTCCTCTATCCGATTGATACCCACGATAAATGAGACTAGATCTACACTGCATGATAAGATTTCATTGAGTCCGTCTATTCTCAACACTGGCATTAGTAATAATAATAATAGTACAAGTAATACTAATATTACTAATAATATAATAATAATAATTATAGTAATTCAACTATTATAAATACTAACAGTAGTATGAATATGTCACCGATGCCGCCATCATCATCAGCAACGACAACAACGACAGCAACAAAAGCGTCGATTACAACTTCCTCCGGCATATCAACAGGAAATTTGTCAAGAATCAGAAATCGTTTTAATCAAGCCTGGAAAAAATAAAACAAAAAATCCCTTTTTAATTCCCTATCTCTTCAATCTACTTCATTCACAGCAGGCTGAATTCAGATCATTTCGGCGATCATTCTACACAGGCAATATAAATAAATACCTCCCAACCAGCCCTCCCTTCCCGCCCGTCGTCTACTGATCGTGCTTCTTTCCACTCCCGTTCATATTTAACTGTAGCTTTCATTAAAGACAGTAAGATCTCCATTTTTCTTTTTTTTGTGATATTAGCATAATAACGATAATAATAATAATAAGCAGAATGACAGATCACATCTTAACACCATCTTCTGTGAGTAAGATTATTTATTCAAGAGTGATGAATGTCACTGCTCTCATTTCTTTAATTTGGTGCAATTAAATCGCTGAAAATTGAACGAACGCATTGATCATGATTTTTAAAATATGTCTGCAAGATGAATGCTACTCACTTTAATCTATCCCTTCAAAAAATAAAAGTATGAAATATATATATCTTTGTTTGTTGTGTGAGTGTGTTTAAAGAGATATTGTAGCGCTATTTTTCAAAGATTCACTTGAAAAAACATGAACAATTTCCTTCCTTTTTTTGATTTAGAAAAACAAGATTTTTCAAACATTATTGATCAACATTATTGATTGCCTAACTACTAAATAGCTATTACATACGCATAAGAAAAAAGAAAACATTTTATCAGATTATGTAATGATTTCTATTTTTCACAAATAATGAAATGCATTTGTGCGTGGGTATGTTTATTCGCATTTACAATTCCTTCCTTCGATCTCACATCTTAAGAAAATCTTTCTTTTTTCCATTTGTGTTCACATACTTTTGAGAAATCTAGGAACTTTATACTCCTGAATTTGTCTCTTTTCTCACCCTCCAATTAACTGTTTTCTATCTCCCATTTTATTCTAAAAAAATAAAGTATGAAATTAGATTCATCATTGATAATGTCTCCAGAATATATTGTCACCATTAATAGTGTTATTATCAATTATCAAGACACATGACCATTGTACACATTGAACCCTCCTGTTGATTTTCATATTGTTTGTGTGTTTGTTCATTTTCGTATTCTCTTTGCCTGTGTAAGCGCTATTTTTGGTTTTTGCAACATTTTTGGTGTGTGTGCACTGATCCATCATGAACACAGATTCTCCTGATTCATCTCCGTCCTCCTGGAAATTATAAATTTTCATTTTTTTCTATATTTTATTTGTGTTCTTGGTGCCATTCAGTTACTTCTGAACGGATTCAGTGAACGGTTAATGTGTGCACTGCCATTTTGCACTTCATTTGGCGTACACCTCTTCGAGATGATTGTTTTTTGTCAAAGGTTTCAAAAAGGAACAGACGAAGAAGAAACGAGTGTAAAAAACAGAGTGAACCGTATAAAGTTCGACAATAGAAGGAATAAGATTTTATCCTTTATTGGGTCTTTTTCCCCCTCTGAACATGCTGCCCACCCATACATACATACGTACACCAGAATTATACAGAAATCAATATTTACACAATGTAAAAATATAATTTATACATATATAGAAAAACAGACAAACAAAAACAAGATGTAGCGCAGTAAACCAATGCAAACAACTTCTTTTTGCACTGATTATTGATTATTGTATTGCTGAGTTCAGTGAAATAAACAGAAGAAACTTCTTCACTTCTTGTAGATTGAGTGTCTGGTGTTCTTGTCCCGTTTTTTCTCTCCTTGTTTCTGGTCAGTGTTTCATCAAGATGACTCAGAAGAAGAAGAATGAATAATGAATGAAAATAAAATCCTTAGATTTTTAATATATACATATATACATTGTTACGTAATCTTTCTTTACCTATTTTAATATATATATATATATAACACAATATTCCACCTACTAGGGAGTTGCATAGTGTTACGGAGAAATGAAATCGAATCTAATGAACGTTTGTGTGTCGGTAGTTCACGCGTTCCACATGCTATTGTGCTCGCGCTTTCCTAAACCTCACCTAGCCGGTAGACAGGGAAGGTTGGGGGGCGTGAGGCTAGCAAACTCCCGGCCTTGTAAAACGAATAACACTACATTTTAAGAGTTCAATATTGCAAAAATATTCATTCAGACATCTATAAAACACAAAATAATCGAGCAAATAATATTCTTTTCGATAAATTCCTCTTCCAGGCTCTACAATTATATATATATATGTTTATATACACAGAATATTTTAAATTAGTAGTTAATATCAATATTAGCGTTTTTTTAAATAATGTCGATTTGTAAAGTAAGATCACAATGCAATTACAGTTCATTAAAGATGCTTAAATTATATAATAATAATAAAGATATAACAGCGAATAGAATATCAACTAAAATTAGGGGAATTTCACAATAATTCGGGATTATTCAACCCTGGATGGCCAAGGTAATGATAATGTCTGAACTAACTTCTTTTGGATTCATAAATTAGGCTTCTTAATCTGGATCCCAACAGCCAGCCTCAGCAATATTTAGTAGTCGAATTCTTTAAGCAAAGTTGAGATTCGTAGGTATGCGGTAAATGACCCTGAAAGCATGATTAACGTCAATCTTGTGTTCTGTCTCCACAAGATGCGCCAGAATAGCGCTGCGAATAGATTTTGTTTGACCTTTGCTTAACCAGGCAGGGTGATGTTCGGAAATTCGACGAGAAACACGTCTAATTGTACGGCCTATGTAACTGGCTCCACAGGAGCAGTTAAATTGGTATGTACACATGGAAGAAGCGAAATTAAGCAGTTTATCTTTCACTCCCGAACGCAAAAGAGGAGTGGTTTTAAAGATACAGCGTAATTCGGCAGCAGGGAATGCTCTTTTTACCGCATTTCTGAGGCGATGTGTTAGTATCTCACTTGTGTTGTCTCCTAGGAACTGCATCTGTAAGAACAAGGCTTTCTTTGAAACTGTTGGTAACTTGGACTGTTTTGGTTTTAGATTCATATTCTTATCAATAAACTTTTCGGGATAACCATTCTCACTTAGCAACCGTTTAATATTGTTAAGCTCCTCGTCAAGACATTCATCCGAGCAAATCTCTCTTGCTCTGTGGATCAAGCACTTTATTAGACTGCGTTTGTATTTCAAGGGCACAAAGCTGAGAAAATGTGTGTACTGGCCCGTTGATGTAGGTTTTCTATAAACACTTCTTCTTATTGTGCCATCCTCTTTTCTGGTCATAAGGACGTCTAGAAATGAAATACTAGAGTCTTTTTCTTTCTCAATAGTAAAATTTATTGCAGGATGTACCTCATTAAATTTATCCAGGATGTTCTTTGCCTCCTTTTCGTTCTTAATAATCAAAAATGTATCACCCATGTATCGACAATAAAATTCGAGTTCATTAATAACATCTTTCAAAGGCCCATTTTCTAGTTTCGCCAGGAAAATATTGGCTAGAATGGGTCCTAGTGGCGACCCCATTGCCACACCGTCGATTTGTCTATACACTTCCTTATTAAATAAAAAGTGGACATTCATTGTACATTTCAAGAGAAGCTCCTTCATGAAAGATATAGGAATGCCAATCTCGATGTTTCGTCTTTTGAGTTCTTCACATATAAAGTCCACTGTTTCCATGAGAGGTACGTTGGTGAATAAAGAAGATACGTCAAATGATATCATGAATTTATTATCAACATTTAAATCTCTTATTCTTTCAACGAATCCAAATGTATCCTTTACACTATATTTCACCAACTCAGTATGAAGGGGCTGTAAGAGTTCAACTAACTATTTGGCTACCGGATGGTATGGTGAATTTAGCATATCTAATACTGGTCGTAGCGGTATACCATTTTTGTGCACTTTAGGCTAGCCATATAGTCTTGGTGTGAACGTTCCGGTGGGTTTAAGTGACGTGTACTGACTCTGTGAGATGAAGCCTTGCTGTTTCAGTCTTTTCAGTGTTTCTGCCAACTGCATCTCTATCTTTTCAATCGGATCCAGAGAAGAGGAGATTTTTTGGAATTTCGAATTATCATTAAGAATAGTATTCATCTTCTTAAAGTAGTCCGCTTTGTTCAAGATAACCACTCCTGAGCCCTTATCCGGTCTTGTTATTATTATGTTGTCATTTTTGTGGAGAGCATCCATGGCTTCTCTATGTTTTTTGGTTAAGATACTATCTGAATTGCGTTTACTGTTCTTGTAGTAATAGCAGCAGTCGACCAGCGTCGATTTAAGTCTTTCAACATCTTCAGATGATGAGGGTGTTAGGCCTTCCGTTTGGGTGTAGAGACTTTCGAACTGAATTTGTGCATCCATTTTGTTAATTTTTACATGGCTGTCACAAAATTTGGGGCCAAGCGATAAAACCTGTAAATCCACTTCACTAAGTATTACATCTGAAAAATTGTTTCCGGTGTCTTGTTCTCTAAGCTCTGTACCAGCTTCAGGCGTTTCTTTTCTTTCCTATTACTCACAATTACATCCACATAATCTAAAAGTAGTTTCTTTAAGTTTTCTGGTAATTCGTCGACCGCATAGAACCTTTCTGTCACATTCTTAGATAACTCAGTAATGCACAATTAAATTGGGTCAATTTGGTTACGTGCATGGCGTTTGAGTGTCTTAGCATTAGGCCGGATTCTGCAACGGCGTAGAGATTTCCAATAAGATTTCGGGTACCGGTTTGTTTCAATACACTGGTGGATAAAGTCAACAGAAGTCTTTGCTTCGCCGAGCCTTGCGTTATACTTCAAATTTTGCAGGATAAGGTTTTATTTTGATAAACTGTCACACAGTGTTGTTGTACAGTATTATTAAATGATGACGTTTTGAGGAGAAACTATTGTTGCTCATAATCATATCAAGTCAACCACACAACATTTTACTTCATTTATATACATGTGTGGAATTGACTAGATATTTGAATAAAAATCAATATAAGATAATGTACATTCAGAAATAATTATATGAGTGTTATTAATCAGGTACAATAAGATGGGAAATAAGACGAGTGCTTTTATAGACAAAATAAGTAACTTGTTAGAATGTTATGATGTACGTGTATTAAAACAGAATTTTAAGATTATTTATTATCCTCCTCTGATTTGACTGGCGGTAATAATATCTTCCATATCTCTGGTATTTGTGTTGAGTCATTTCTGTTGCATGTGTCGGGTGTAGACTCAATGAACCAGGATTCAGTAATCAATCTCTCTCCATCTCCACCTACTTATATTACTTCTTAGAATTTTAACCCTCTCCCGCCATGCTATTGTGTGGTTGTGTGTTAATGCATGCAGTGCAATCGCTGAGCCCAAGTTTTATACTTATATTAATTTGCAGGTATTTGATTTGTTTCTAGTTTCACGATGGATTGATATCAATTAAAGAACCAGTGAAGGAGTACTGGACAGTCAGCTATTTCGTCCTAGTTTAGGACTCATCGAAAGTACACACCCACCTCCAAAGTTCGAATCTATGACCTTCCGGTTACAAGACAGGCTAGCTCGTAGACTATTCAGTCACTGGGGACTCGATTTAATGGCCGGTCAATGAATTCGAACTTCTGCCAATTCGTGATTTTTTTTAGAGGGACCACCATCCAATATTATCGGTGAGTATTTCTGTTCACTCTCGACCTGCTGGTAGACCCTACTGGTCAAGACTTCTCACTAGAACTCCAAGCAACTTAGTGAGCATCAGATTAATTTTCAAAAGTTAATTCGTAGTTTGAGCTTGCCTTGCAACGGGAAAGTCCTGTGTTCAAACCCTGGTGGTGGGTGAGTACCACTGCAGAGTCCCAAACTAGGACGAAACAGCTGGCTGTCCAGTACTCCCTCACTGGTTTTCTAACTGATATCAGTCTGTGGCCAAACCTGAAATAAGCATACTGTTACTGAAACAACAAAAATCAAAGCCTTAAGGCCACTAGGAAAGCAAAAGGATAAAATTTTAAAGAATCGGCATGTTTCATTATAGATAAGATTTTATTTTGATAAATCACACAGTGTTATACAGTAATATCGTAGCAGATAAATTTATCGACAGATTGGAAAATGGTGCTCTTAATACATTTAATTCTACTCCAAAAATACGGTGGAGATATGTGGATGACACTTTCACAGTGTTGAAAACAGAACATATCTCTAGCTTCTTCACATATATAAACTCACTAGTAAAGGGAATAAAATTCACATTTGAATCGGAAAATGAACAAGGAGAATCAACCATGATGTTAGATTGTAAAATGAAATGAACAGAACAAGACAAACTGCACACTAGCATTTATAAAAAACCAACGCATTCTGCTAATAGATATTTAGACTTTAATTCATCTCATCCATTAACTGTTAAGGCAGGCTTAGTTAAGTGTCTAACAAACAGAGCAGTAGCACTTAGTAGTACAAGAAAAGACCTAAACGATGAAATGAAACAGATAGACTAATAGCTGGTTGGTGTTAAATAACTAACTTTACTATAAAATTCATTAGGAATATCAAAAAGGGTCAAAAGCAAATTAAAAATAATTGTGAAACTAGTAATGATAACATAAATAAGAGAGAATATAAGGCATCTACAGTTATACCATATAAGGAGGGGACATCTGAGACTCTCCCTACGTAGGATTCTCAATAAAGCAGGAATTAGGGTGGCATTCAAACTCACTCAGAGACAAGCTTTGTAGACTAAAGGACCCAGTGGGTTGACCCAATTAGACAAAATAATATGATTTACAAAATACCCTGCAATGACTGTGAGCGAGGTCAACTACATAGGTCAAACTAGTAGATCAGGAGTAGTCGGATTGTCAGAATATAAGAATTTAGCTATGGTTAGAGTGATTGACCCCTCAAAGATAAGTAATTTGGAAAAAGCTCAGCAACTGCATTCTATGCACTAACACACAACCACACATTAGGGTAGGAGAGGGTTAAAATTCTAAGAAGTAATATATGTAGGTGGACAGAGAGATTGACTACTGAATCCTTGTTCATTGAGTCTACCCCCAACATATGCAACAGAAATGACTTAATGCAAATACCAGAGATATGGAAGATATTATTACCACCAGTCAGTCAAATCAGAGGAGGATAATAAATAATCTGAAAATTCTATTTCAATTCACTTACATCATAACATTCTAACAAGTTACTTATTATGACTATAAAAACACTCGTCTTATTTCCCATCTGATTGTATTTGATCAATAACACTCATATTATTATGTCTGAATGTACATTATTCAAATGTCTAATCAACTTCACTCATGTATATAAATGAAGTAAAAAGTTGTGAGTGAGTGACTTGATATGATTATGAGCAGTAATAGTTTGTGCTCGAAACGTGGTCATCAGTTAATATTACTGTATAACAGACACTGTGTGATTTATCAAAATAAAATCTTATCTATAATGGAGTTATACTCTACCACATTGCCCAAGTGTTATACTTAAATCGGCATGTTTGTTTCGATCAGCGCAGATATTTTACTGCTTCTTTGTTGTGACTGCAATAATATGTTCTTTCAAGGAGCAGTAGTTGTAGAAGACTGTTATTGTTAATAATTCATCCCTTGGGTTCCAAATGGAACACAGGGCTTCAGTAACACATCCCCACCGTGTCGTCTTCTCTGAGGTCATTGGTAACTGGTTGTAAAATTGTCCAGAAGTTTTCAATTGCTTTTCACACGATTTCCACCATATGTATCCACCTTCTAACTTCTTATACGAGTACCACTTCAAGGCGTGGTGTGTGATGTCACACTTGTAGGTCTTTTTTTACGGTAATAATATCCAGTCCACCTTCGTTTCTTTATTTGTTGGCCAGTAGGTTGTTGGTTCGTCTCCATGGTCAGTATTTTGTTGGATAAGATAAGCTGTGAGACCTGGCCATTGAGAGTGGAAGACATGAAAAAAGGGCTAGCTATCTTTGATCATAGATGTCTTCGTTACATCTCCTATCGTGGTGACAGCTGGCTGCTAGCCAAATTGGTAGACGGTAATTTACGTCAATGTTTACGTCCCCAATATTGGTTGTGAGAAAAATATGAACAAAGACTGATTTAACAACCTACCACAGCAGACTTTGCGTAGGCGGATACAACTTGCAGATAGATAATCTGAACTTCAATAAACGGCCACAAAGAGATGAAAAATTAACGTTCAACGAGAAGCCACCAATCAGAAGACTGTGTTTGTTTGCTTACAATAATCTATAATAATGTACATGAAAATCTATAAATATCTGTTGAATGCCTAAATAAACGATCTGTTACCTGGCCCTTGTCTTCTGTTGTTACACCATGTTAGACATTATAATAGGGCGAGTAATATCGAGGTTAGACGTCGAGTCTTAGGTAAGGAGGGAAAGTCAATCAACGAGATTGTGAAGCCAAATCGATTGAGATGGCTGGGGGACGTGCTACCTATGGTTAGCGATCGCCCTCCTCGACGAGTAATTTTAGCTGACATAAGATCGGTTTGGAAAAGAGCTAATGGTGGTCAAGTCAATGGAATCCACAACAGTTAGCTCAGGCCAGTCACGTACAGAAATATAGGCTGCGTGGCTACCTAGGGATGGTAAAAACCAAAGATTGGAGATAATTCGTGACATGGCTCGAAATCTTTCTTGATTGTTGGCACAGATGCATTCACTCTTTGTCATTTGTCACATCACCCCATAAGTTTCTATTGTTCTTCCCTCACCAACACTTCTGCTTATTGTCTCTTTTTTAAATCCCTCTCTATATTCCCTTGCTTCGTGTGCTACATGAAGAATTGCAATTAGAAAATACTAGACTGACTGTAAGTATTGTACTGTGTATCACTGTTCACGACAAAATGATGATTTATATTATGTACTTCATTGCACCCTATCCAAACTAGGCTTCATCTCATAACAGTTTCCTAGGAACACAAAAATAGGAGAACAAACAGAGCCCAGACGGAAACTAGTAACTGTCCGACTTAACACCATCAGTGACCACACATTAAGTGAAATTAACTGTACCTGGAATAATAAGTACAGACAGGAGAAGACCAAACAGTTAACAGGTGGACACACTTAGTTGTTGAAGAAGTCATAAATACACTAGAACCGCTGTAGGTATTTGCGTGAGGTAGTTCAATGCGAGGGAGAATGCTCGCTAGTCAGATACATGGTTGGTCTAGGTTCAACCCCAAACTGGTCATCCCTAAACCTTGCCTAGTATACTCACTAGCTAGTAGTAGGCCCTAAAACAGAGGGAAGGTTCGGCGCAAGGCTATGCTATCGTGTCTCCGCTTTTATACTTCGCAATAACACTGAGAATGAAATAAGGAAGCCGAGCTGGTCACAGAGGCACTGATCACGAATACCGCTTGACTATGCCGCCAACAACATTACACAAGGATGTGAGCCGAAAAGTATATTTCACACAATAATATATGATTCAAAATATCACCAAGGTTATATATATGTCAATTAGTTTCTAATCATGACCAATAGAATAGTGGGCGTTATTTTACGGAAATCATTTCCTATTGGTTTATTTCCAGACCAGTCATCGATCACTTACGTGGGCTAAATTCTGATTGGTTAATTTTCAGACCGGAAATCGATCACTACATCATCAATAAAAGAAAATCCATTGTTTATCTGTTTACATATCACGCTACCAACACCATCGTTAGTGGAACGTCCAAGCTTGAAGCACTATCTTCCACCCGGAAGGCAGAAGAATGAAAACAAAAACTGTAAATGTTGACTTTTTCCTTAATGCTTTATGATTGTGTTCATACCACTTATTCCTCTTTAATAAACGAAATTTCTACAACACCGTAAGCAATATTATTATTTTTGTTCCCTTGGGTTTCAAGTGGAACATAGGGCTTCAACAGCACAGTTCCACTTCGTTCTATTCTCTGCTATCCTGTTTAGCTGACCCCGAAATTCCCCCTTAGTCTCTCATCTCCTCCATGTCACCCTGGGACCCAGGCCCATCTCGTCGTTGCCTATTCTACTTCCACTTGAGCGATATCATTCGCGCATAGGTGAAACATAATTAGCCATACCATACAGCGGTTGTGCGTCGGTGGCACAGCGGTTAGGATCCTCGCCGTCCATGCACATGGTCCGGGGTTCGACCCCCGGCCGACGCACTCCTTTACCTCACTAAGCCAGTAATAGAGTTGGCAAAGAGGGAAGGTTGGGCATGTGGCTAGCAACCCCATCCTGTAAAGATAAACACTGCTACAGAAACTTCAAGCCTCTAGCTTGAAGCCCTATGTTCCTCTGGGAACGTGAAGGAATAAAAAAGAATACAGCAGAAGAAAAAGGATGTGAGCATGAATACAGTGACATTATTATTAGACATATTATACAATACAATATACCCATTATATTTCTATTGATTACTGCACTAAAATGTGCTGTAAGTTTAAATTTTTTTCATTATACATGTAAAATAAGATTACCAACTTTTGACAATGATCTCAAATGTACAAATGAGCAAGGTTAAATGACAAATAAGCCGAGATTATTTATAACAAAAAAGAGATTAAATAATGAAACAAGAAAAGTGAACTGCACACACCATTCTATCATCATCACAGTAGTAAGAATATTACTAAAAATAATAATAATAAAGAATACGAAAAAAAAGAGGACTATGTCCATGGTAAGAAATTTGAATGCATAATACAACCAATACATGCATAACCAATAAAATACAACAAGATAATCCTGTGCTTTAACAAATGATATTGAAAAGGATTCATAATTCTACATATACTTATCATATCATAAAATAAGAATGCAAATTTTGCTTTTCCATTTGAAGTGCTTGACGATTTCATCAGCTGTTCAAAATTTGGCATAGCTTCACGTAGAAGGTAGGCAGAAAACCAATAGACAATTGGACAAGATGAAAATATCATACGTGTCAATACCTGTAGAAATTAGAAAAATAAAAGTAGAATAAATCCATTAGAAGTATAACATAAAAAATTGGGATAAAATGAAAGATACTTTCAAATTCGCCCTGAAATAGTAGTGAAAGTAACAATATAAGTATTTAAACGGAGCTCAGACTTAATCGTTTGAATAATTGGGTTACTACTGGGTATATGATGTTCATTATACTTAGAAATGCGTATATCGCATTGAATGAAAAAAACAAAACGATGTTGTTTCTACTTGTGTACTGCAGGTAACAGCCTTATCAAAGTATTTATTTATTTTTAAGTATTGGTTTTGTAGGGATTTAGTTTTGATTGGATGGAGGATTTCAGCATGAGCTGACATCAGTAACTCATCGAAGAAGACATTGCGAAATGTTCGCGCTAAGTCGTGAATTGTCAGAAGTTAGAATTCACTGACCATTAGATTTGTTTCCAGTGGCTTAATGGTCTACGAGCTCGCCTTGTAACCAGAAGGTCCTGGGTTCGAACCCCGTGGGTGCGTGCTGATGAAGAGTCCCAAACTAGGACGAAACAGCTGTCCAGTACTCCCAGCTGGTTTTTTCATGGTTCTCTAACTGATGTCAGCTCATGATGAAATCCTCCATCTAATTTATTTATTTAAATACAAAAAGACTTGGCACAATATGGCACCACACAATAATAATAAAACAACATAGATTAAAAGTAAAAATATAAGTAGAGAACAGATGAAGTACTTTATCTGGAAGGAAAGTAGTGATATTTAACAAGTTCAAACAGCACTCGACAATTACTGTAGGAAAGGGAAGAAAGGAGGAAAATGCAGCACGTGTGCCATTGATTGTGATTCTTGGCCATATCCGATAACGTTTCGAGCCATCGATTCGAGCTATCTCTCGGACTCCAACCAGGGAGTTGTGACATACCACCAACCGATGCTAACCTAATACAAATATCCTTCATCCCACGACTCCACATCATGGGCTGACCACCTTCTTCGCTTCTTCCATCCCGTCCCAGGTCTGGCTAGTGAACAGAGACCTGTACGCAAGTACCTGGGATGAAGTGGTATAATAAGGTGAGCAATTTTGAGGTTGGGCGTCGAGTGCTAGTTAAGGAAGGGAAATCAATCGACGAGGCTGTGAAATTACTTCGACTGAGATGGTTAGGACATGTGTTACGTATGCCTAGTCATCGCCTTCCTCGACAAAGGGCAATGTTAGCTGACATAGGGTCAGGTTGGAAAAGAGCTAGCGGCGGTCAAACCAAAACATGGCACCAGTCAATGAAATCTACAACAATTAGTTTAAGCCACGTAGTGCGGTATAGACTTCCTGGTTGGGGTCCTCGGGACGGTAAGAACTAATGGTTGGAAACAACTGGTGGTATGGGTCAAAATCGTTCTCAATGGCGCAGATGTATCCACTCCTTGTGACTTATGATTTCCAATGAAACTGTTTTGTTCTTCATTATTACTATTCCTTTGTCTCACACTTCCGTTTACTGTCTCTAATATGCATTTCTCCTACTTTCTTCTCTTGCTTTGTGTGCGACTTGGAGTGTGGCAACTTGAACTGCTGCACATCGGTGCAAAGTTCTATTTCGAAAACAGACAGGCAGACATACCATGGGATGACATCCGTAGCACACGTCCAAGCCACCGAAGATGGTGTTTCTAGATGAAGACAATCAACGAATGGTGATCTCCACCGTGTCTAAACACACACCACCGAACCTCAGAATTACTCACGCAATGATGCCATCGAACGCAAGCAATTCTGCGGAGACAACGATGATCGAATATACAGAGTCACCGCACATCCTCAGCTCGGAGAGACCAGGTTTCACAGACAGAGCAAGACAGCACGCACTGAAGCATTGTAATCCCGACCTTTGACAGCCAGGCTAACTTCGCGACAGTGCCAGAGGTGGTTCAATTTGACGCAAATGAACTAGAAGTTGAAAAATCTCAGCTTAGATATAATAAATAACCTGATCATAATTCTTCCATATGAGGTGATTCTCCGTTGCAAAATGAAAGAACTAGCAAAGATAACAGATGTTTGAATTTCTTACATTACACAAAATCTGGTGATTTTGATTTAAAAACCAACTGTTAAATAGCAATCTATAAGTCTTTATTACCATACTTCCGTTTCACTGATGAGCAGGAAAATCAAAGCATCGTCTGCTTTGCCAAAAAACGGTATTGTGGATGACTGAAGAAGGGGTTAATTAGGTCTAATCACGCTTGTTGATTGAAGAAACTTCCGCTACATAGCGCATACACTTATGATTCGTCATACCTTACTAATTTTACTTCGAATTTTATGACGATTTACCGATAAAGCATGACTCATGCTTAACCATTTCTAGATATTTCTTTCTCCAATACGCCAGAAACTGTTAGAATTCCAATACGAGTGAATACTTCGATACTACAGACTGTAAGCTGGTTGGCGAGACACCAACGAAATAAAGCGAATGGGTATCTTTCTTACTTAAACCATTACTGATGTTTTAAAGTCTACGAAAAGGAATGCATGCATGATAGCTATTCAATTTGGTGTTGGCAGTAAATTAGAAATCACTGGAGAAATATGACACACTTTAAAATATATCATAATGAACAAACATGAATTATAAGCGAGTTGACAAAAGACTATTTCTCAACCATTAATTTTTGATTTAGTCAATGTAAATACATTTTCTGTTGATAATACCTTTCGAAATAATAGAAAAGATTTGTAGCTCAGGTGGATGATTTGCAACTGATAGTGTTCTCTGAGCTGGTTGGTTGGTTTAGTTGCGGAGATTTCGTCGTCCACCTTTCTGGACAACATCCCCCTTCAGCGCAATATTTAGCATAAAGTGAAATGATTTCAATTTCTTCATGAGTGATATAATTGCGTCTCCCGGTAACCACCTTTACATATGTATTGATCATTTTTTGTTGACTTGGATTTTAAACTTTCTCGTCACATGATTTAATTTTTATGAGTTGGTATATTTCGTCTATATTAACATGTTTGTCAATTGCATTTTCCTTTGAGTACACCAGGCTTCTAGGAATTCCCTGACTGCACTTTTGGTGTTTCCTCTGTTTAAGATTTCGACATTATCACAATCAAATTGATGACCATAATTGTCTATATGCATTGATACTAAAGAATATGGATATCATGTCTTTTCACAGCTAATTTGTGTTCTTGGATTCTGATTCGAAGGGGACGCCCACTTTGGCCGATGTAATGCTTGTTGCAGTTCATACAATTTATTTTGTACATGGTATTAATTTTATCTTCTTTTTCTGTTGGATCTCTCGGTTTTCATAATATCGAATTGAGCGATTTGACTGGCTGGCTTGTGTGCTATATCTATATCTAACGGTTTCAGTATTCTAGCTGTTATTTCACAGATATTTTTCGTGTGTGGTAGGATGAAACCGTTTGACATAGATATAGCAAACAAGCCAGCCAGTCAAATCACTTAATTCGATATCATGAAAACCGAGAGATCCAACAGAAAAAGGAGATAAAATTAATACCATGTACAAAATAAATTGTATGGACTGCAACAGGCATTACATCGGCCAAAATGGGCGGCCCCTTCGAATTAGAATCCAAGAACATAAATCAGCCGTGAAAAGACACGATATGTATTCTTTAGTACCAATGCATATAGACAATTACGGTCAACAATTTGATTGGAATAATGTCGAAATCTTAAACAGAGGAAACACCAAAAGTGCAGTCAGGGAATTCCTAGAAGCCTGGTGTACTCAAACGAAAATGCAATTAACAAACACGTTAATATAGACGAAATATACCAACTCATAAAAATTAAATCATGTGACGAGAAAGTTTAAAATCCAAGTCAACAAAAAATGATCAATACATATGTAAAGGTGGTTACCGGGAGACGCAATTATATCACTCATGAAGAAATTTAAATCAGTTCACTTTATGCTGAAAATTGCGCTGAAGATGTTGTCCAGAAGGACGACGAGAGCTTCGCAACTAAACCAACCAGCTCAGAGGACACTATTAATTGCAGATGATACCTTTTTCTGGGGGATGTCAGGTAGGTAAACTGAGTGGTTGCTCAAAGTTATTCCTTTAAATATGATATGTTAACTTACAATTAAACGGCTATAGTTTTAAACCCAATGTTTTTCAAGTAAAACCATAAACGTTATGAATATATTCAACTACCTTACTTTAAACAGATCAGATACCTCACCCTAGGAATGAAGTGGTGAAACGTGTTGACCGCTTCACTTATTTGGGAGGTTGCATCAGCCCCAACAGGCTGATCGCTGATGCAATCTCAGCACGCATACGAAAGGCTCGTGTGGCATTTGCCAACCTGTATCATCTCTGGCATAGAGGTGATATCCGACTTGTGTACTTCTCTACTAAAGTCCGCTCCGTCCTCCTTTATGGGTGTCAGACATGATCATTAAAAGTTAAAGACATCAACGTGCTAACCGTCTTTGATCACAGGTTGATAAGAACCAGCATAAAATAGTATATCATCCTTTCTCATGCATATTGTGATTTATTGTGTGATCAGTCACTTCTCACGGCTGTGAGCCAACTTTATTGTGGTAATGAAAATGTAGAAATATGATGTGTTATTTTCCTAATAAATATACTGTATCTTACATACAGTCACAAGCCAGCCAGCCTTTGTCTTTTGATATTTGCATGGCTCAATGAAGAGGATGGTGCAACGGATAGATAGGCGTATCACCCACCGTACCAGTCGATTTCATTACCATTATAGCAATTAGCAGCGCATACATAACATAGGTGTCTGAGTTCTATCTCTTGTGTTAGTTGGTATTATAGGGTGAGTAATATTGAGGTTAAGCTTCGGTTGAGTGTAAGATAAGGAAGGAAACCACATCAAATGAGATGGTTAGGACTTGTGCTGCGCGCATGCCTAGGCATCACCTTCATCGACAACTGGCAATGTTGGCTGACAGGATCAGATTGAAAAAGAGGTAGTGGTAGTCAAATTAAAACTTGAAATCAGTCTATGAAATCTCTAACAGTTAATTTAAGCCAGCCAAATAGAGAGGAATCGACTTCCTTGGTTGGAGTCTCCAGTATGCTAAGAACTAATGAAGGCTGGAGACAACTGATGATAAAGGCTTAAAGTTGTCCTTAGTGGCTCAGACGCAATCATTTTCTGTGGTCTGACATATCCATTGTTTTTCCGTGTTACTGTTCGAAGTTATTTCTCAAAGTTCCAATGAAATCAAGATGCAAAAATGAAACTGAAACACGCACCAAATGTCTTAGGAATGTCAGTAACCATATTAGAATACACATAGGCCCAATGCAAAATACATATAATAGAGCTCTCAATTATAACTAAAGCGGCGAATATTCTTAAAACCAACTCACCAGAATGGTAATAAATACAAATTAAATGAACAGACTGTCACTACTATCTGTTCGACTAAAAATTGCTTCGTAAACACTAATAAAACACGATTCAGCAAACCTAAAAACCGTACTGTACTTACTACCTAGTTAAAGGTACATACGATATTTCGCTCAGCAGAATGCATGCACTTATAAGCACCGGTCTGTGTTATTCCACCAAGTGGTGAACAAATAATTACAGTTACCTGCCATCCATCCAAAGTACAGTAGATTTAACTTGCGAGGCACTATGACTAGTCAACATGAGCATTAATTTTAAAGTCGCATGGAATTAAGGAGACAGTTTTATCTCATTTACGAATTCAAAGGCATTACACAATATACTAAAGCAACGCTTAACTTGTATATTAATAAAAGTACACGTGAAGCGAGTACAATTGCAACACTTACCTGGACATTGATGTGAAGAACCCCGTAAGCGCATAAAAACAGCATATGAAACACATAGGGTACCATATTGCGATCCATTTCAGACTTAGCATAAAGTCCAAGTGTTCTATAAGCACTTGGAGCGCGTCTATAAAATACGATTGAACAAACAAAACACAGGATAATAACTGGCATGGCTAAAACAAAATTTGGTATTTGACGTAACTGATAGTATTTCCACAAGCCAACATCCCACTTTTCCTGTATGTAAGTGTAGGAGAATGGAGGAATAAAAGAACACCATGCTGGTATATTTGAGGTGGACATATTTCTATAATTCGAAGGCATAATAAAATCATGGTCAAGACCAAAGTTAAGCAACGACATGGGAATTTCAGATGGAAAGATAGCATAAAATGGCTTTTCATGAACACAGTATAATAGATATCCGTAAAACTGGTAAATTAGAAATGGGAGAGCACATAAGCAAAGTAGAAGGAAACGTGGTAAGAAAAATGTGAGCAGGTTAATCCACCAACTGATGGAGTGGAGTATAAAGGATAATGCAGTCTTTTGTTTATTATTTACATCGTCTATCCACATAAGCATCCGAAGATCTGACCGAGCAAGTAAGAAATAGCCTAAATAACCTATATTTAACAAACCATTACTTCGACATGCTACAGAAAGTGCAAATAACAGGGAGGACCACAGAGTTCTACGAAGTGCTAATAAATACAAGCCAAGAATAGTAAGGAAGAAAAATAGTGACTCAGAATACAGTGAAGAAAAGAATACTACTGCCGGATTACAACAAAATAGTATTGAGGCAAGAAAACTGATTTTGGAAGAACCTAAAACAAGAACTCCCAAACGGTACAAAAATACTGTGGCTGCTACGCATAAAGTGAAGTTTAGCAAGAACCCACATAAAAGAATTGAAGGTACTAGACTAATAGACCGTAGGAAAACTTGAGTAACTATGCGACCAAATAGGCCTATTAACATAGGGAAGCCTGGGAAAAACGCCAAACTTTGTTCGTATATATAACCATTTTCCGCAATGAAAGTGAAATACACAGAGTCCCACTTGTGAAATCCTTGAAAACATACTAGAATAATCTGGTCGACCCAACCAACATGCCGCTGTTGCGGAGGTTTGAAAGCGTCAGCATCGTGATCAGGAAGGAAGCTGCTGATAACCTAAATTCAGTTTACGATTAACAGAAACAGTTACATACAATGAGAAGAGTGAACACACACTTCAAGACGAAAGCCCATTTCAACAACGAAATCTCAACACCTGTCAAACTAAGCATGCGCCAGCGCCATGACCTTCAACATACAATGACCTTGTGGCGGCCGGTGATTTCCCAAATAATTAGGGCTGGACTTATCGGCAATGGATAGAGGCACACACGACCTTATGGAGAGGCTGAGCACTTCAAGGTCACTTGTGTATATTGTGATTGGTGGATTCGCCTTTGCATAAACGCTGCGGCTAATACGTAGCATACGTTACTGAGGCGGGCTTTGAAATGATAATAATAAAAATCGCATAGACATTACATTTTTCAGCTTAAAGGGACAAGTTAACATGTGTAAAATTTTACAGATGTTTCATGCATTGGATCCATTAACAAAAAGAATATTATTCTGTAACATAATCAAAGAGGTATAAAATGTGGAGATTTAGTCTTTTTTCAGCTGGTTGTAACAGACAGATAGTAGAGGCAGTTGTGTAATATATACATTTTGCAAAAGGCAAACTGTGAAAGATAAATTGGAAGTTCTATAATTCTTCAAATGTGTCATAGAATATATGTACCAATCCTACCAATTATACTATTGTTCCCTCCCTTGTTCACATATTCATTGTGGCTAAGATAAGGAACTTTTCACCTAAGGTAAGATTAATTCACTTGATATGTATACATCCCTAGATATTTCTCAGTGCGGCCGGAGGTGGTCGAAGGAATACAATCTCGATCATTGCTCGGAAAAATCACAACCAGTTTCTTCTGAAGGATTGGGTGGTGATGGAAGCTGTAAAGATGGGTCGTGTCGCTAACATGTGAGGGAAAATGACCCACATATTGTGAATAAAACGATTAGTTGACTTTATTTTGACTATGATGTAGCCATAAAAAAATCTACAACTGTAATTTTTTCACTGAAATGTTATAAACCCTTTTTAATGTGAAAATGTACTGCTTGACCGTTGTTCTTTTGTAAATATATGCATTTATGTCGACTACTTGTACCTCTCTTATTTATCATATCGAGGACATTGCATATTTAACGAAATTGATAGGCAACGTAGTAATACTTATGTGAAATGCGTCATAGTCGTAAGCGGTTATTATTTCCTCAGTGCGTCATCAAGCCTCGCCTGAAATGTTTCAGTTACATTCAACTCGGTTGCGCATAGTATAAGTATGCATTAGTGTTGAGAAGAAAAGATCGTCAAACATGTGTTTGTATTGTTTGCAGGACGACTACGGTCATCGAAAATAACGTATTATAGATATGTCCTATTTAAGATAATTATCCTAGTATTCTTATACTGCGCTTATTATCTTTTGAAGTAAATCACTACGCATTCCAAAAATAGCTATATCACTATTCCTTCGACAAGCAAAACGAAGTAGTAGTACAAGAATACCGTGAAAACTTTTAAGAAATATTTATTTTAATGAATGATTTCATTATATCACAACGATTCCGACGTTAACACGAAAATTCTTCAATCACACTTCATCAAAGCTTCAAAATCAAGTGGACCATTGCGTAAATTACAATTGTAACCTGAAAACCAACAACAGTGATACTTCTGTTAGCAAATAATTACCAATACGTAATTGCTAAAAAGCAAAGGACATCTCAGTAAAAACTTTGTTTCTTCTTTGTTATGTTCCAAATAAATCAACTAACACTCCTTTATAGCTGTAAACTCTTCTGACTGTTAACAAGTTTTCAGAACTCAGCGATTCAAAGCACCACCTAGGAATTTCGCCAAACATACTACATTCGCCTAATTTATTTCGTTTTTCTTAACGTAATCAACAATTTACAAGGAACTTTAACATTCCACATGCAAAGAAACAACGAAATTTGATGAAAAATACGTGTTCACTCAAACTGCTTAAAACGTCTACTTTCCACCATTTTTCTAAGTTTTCTCGTTAAAATATGGTATTTTTAATGTATTTCAGTTGAAAAAACACCTGGTAACAACGTAGAACAACCCAAACACAACAACGCGATAACACATAACGACACCCCGTGTGTGCCCCTATCCATTGCCGGACTTATCCGGCATGTTGGTTGAAATTTCGCTCGGCAAATTTGTTTTGTCAATAGTTTTTAATAAAATTTTGTTCTATATTTTCTGGATTGAAAGGAATTCTCATTTCCTGGCTAGTTATGTTGGTGTCTGCGTCATTTAATCTGACTGCGACACACTTAGCATATTGGTTGTAATGATTAGTGTTTCATGCTGAATGCGTCAAAACATCTCTACAATGAAGAAGATGGGGTAGTTGGTGGGTAATGTCATCTACGCAAATAGTTTATTTCTTATAGAAGCTGCAGCTTTCGACATAGTGTCATTCAATGAAGACTACGTCAAAATGTGGCTATTTTCGTGTGAAGAACAGAACTATTTTACAAAAGAATGCTATCAGTACATGGGAATCACCTATAAATGCCAACAGAACATAAAACCAATGTGTAAACGAACGGCTATGGAACTGCAATCCAACATAACCGACTAACATGGACGAAAATGACCTTTGAGCGTCTCACTCCATCACTGACCTTGAGCATGCGGGATAATTTCAGCCATAATTAGCCACAGCATTCATCACTGAACATTAGGTGCTGACCCCGACTGTTTAAGTTGACTTTTTCAGCTAAAGGCTTACGGTCATGCATGCAGGCTATTTGGCACACCGTCGTGTTGCCTTCGTTCGTTCGAGCACGTTCCCTAGCTAGTTGAGCAATCATCCTCGCACTCCGATTTGGTCCCGAAATATACTTCGTAATTTAGACGACCGATTCTGGTGTTTTGCTTCGCCTTTGGATTACACGATCTTGAGTTAACATAAATCGTACTATCAGTGAACGTCAACATCCTCCTTAACTTCTAAACGCGATACTTTCGAAACTGGTGACATTCCTGCACGTGCCTTCGCCGATATTCATTTATTGCTTACTGATATATAATCCTTCAAATTATGGTCTAAATTTCTACAAAACGTGTTCGTAGAAACGCGAGTGTTTAAGATAGTGGCTCAAGCTCGATCATAACTGCATTACCGCCCTCTTATACAGTATAAACTATTAGGCCACAAAAGGTGGAAGATGTTCTGTTGGAGAACCCTAAATACTATGCCTTGTGAAAGATATCCAGAGGCAGGTTAATGAACTTCAGAAAAAAGTAGGTCAATGTGACTGCATGGCACTTCCATTCTCAAGTATCACGATTAACCGTTCTGATATTGACCAGGTTAAGTCTTTAATTTTACACTCAGCCCGGCCTCCTTTTCAACCATAAACTCTTCTGGTGCTGACGCACAAGAAAAATTAGGTTATGGCGAAATTTTAAGCCAGTTTGTAGGATCCTATTATTAATCAAGATAGTACTAATTAATGCACGTTCCCTAACCAATAGGATATCTGGACTAGAGATATTAATCTCCAAAACTAATGTCGTTCTGAGAACTGAATCATGGTGTTCATCCTGTATACTTGATGTGCATCTAGGCATAAACGGTCACACTACACTGTGCAAATAGAAATTGTAAGCGTGGTGGGGATGTCTCATATGTATGCATGACTCATTCGTAGTCAGTAGGGTGGAAGATGAAATCCTGAATGAGGTACCTGATTCACTATGGATCGTCTTACGTGGATATAAGTACAAGTTGTTGTGTTTATCAAGCACCATGCTCAACCAAAGAGACTGTTGCGTTATTAACTAAATAGTTTGCACTCGCCTCCTCGTTTAGTACTAATTACAAAATAACTGCAGGGGACTTCAATCTTCCAGAAGTCAATTGGTTGGGTAGTTCCGGCCCCCAACGCTTCGACGAATCACTTGCCACTATCAACTGCTATGGACAGCAACAACACGTCCAGACACCTACCCGTGGTGACAACATGTTGGACCTTGTGTTTTGCCACGACACAATCCCAGTCTCCACCTATGTTGGTAACAGATTTTCCAGTAGTGACCATAGAATGGTACTCTACTCTCTGCCCTTCTCACCACTAGATACAGGAAACAAACAAGATTCAGGGAGCATGATATGTCGTAGTTACAAACATACAGACTGGGGATTAGTCCAAGAACTCATTCGACTCTCTGAGTGGGATGAATATTTTACCACTGACTCCTTGGAGGCTGTAGTGTACCTGTTTTGCAGGGATGTTATCCTCTGTCTAGATACTGTTGCTCCCAAGAAAATAGTGAAATTCAGTAGACACCAAGCTGAATACATTCCAAGGGCATGCCGCCATAAGTTAAGGAAGTTGAAGAAACAGTACTATTCCACTAAGGATATATCACTACTGCACTCAGTCCATGAGTCTCTTGAATCTATCAAGCGCCAACGCTCTCAAAAGGACCTCGACGAAGAATTAAGCGCACTTGAAAGCACCTCCAAAGTTTATAACTTAACAACACTTCTTAAAAAACGAATGCAGTCAACTAGGGACATCCCCTATTTACTTCACGACAAAGTTATCTACAACGTGCCTGCCACTATCTGTGAAATGTTCAGTGAGTGGTTTGCAAACTTCAGTTTAGAAAGGCGCATGCCTGGTGAAATCGCCCCCATTACTAGCTCTTCCCTCGGAAGCATAGTGTTCACCAGTCAATTAATAGAACACGCAGTTGAAAGCCTTAGACCTTTTACTAGCACGGGACCGGATGGCCCTGCTCCAATAATTTTCAAGAATATTGGGTGTGATATTCCCCTACCACATCTTAAATTCTTCTCAATGTCTGTGGACACTGGCACTTACCCTAATAAGTGGGAAAATAGCTTCATAATTCCACATTACAAATCTGGTGATAAGGCAAACGTCCGCAATTACAGACCCATAAATATAACCCCAGTTGTCTCGCGAATCCTAAAGAAAGTTGTCGAAGATCAGTTGTCAGACTACCTACTTAGGGAAGATCTTATTACAAGGTCTCAACACGGATTTCTCAAAAATAGGGCCTGCGTTACTTTCACTTAGACTTTTTCAACTGCATCGCTGGTAGTCGCGAAACACGTAAGCTAGTCGTTGTCCTCTACTTCGATATATC